TATCTGGTGAGCTGGAAGGTCCGAATGCCGGAAGTGCATCGATAGCCAGGAGTACGCAAACAAGCAGTATCAAAACTCACCACGCACTGTTTGTAGCCGGTAATCCGAACGAGGCGCGACGAACTAATGGCCATCGCGGCTGTGGTCTCCGGTTCCACAGCAGCCTTCTCTTTGTCGGCAGAGCTGTCGGCAACTCGTCCATCCGGTCGCACAATAACGCTCCAGTAGACGAGGAATTGAATGGCCCAGGCCCAATTCTCCAGCATTTCCGCCTCCTGTCCATAGCAGCTGAGAAGGCCCTCAAAGTAGAGTGGGACGCCACACTCAATCATCTGCTGCCACTGGACTGTTAACCAGCGTGTCACGGCTACTGCCAGTCCAGTAAGGCTCGCCGCCAGCGCCTAATGAGTATGAAAATGAAACATTAAGTTAAGGCGCTTTTCGTCGAGTTAACTGATATAAATAACGTGCTACTGCTGAACATAAAGTAGTAATTATATCAGCTTTAAAAGTCGACAGGCCCAGGTTCTTAAAATGACTCCAAGACCGTTTTTCTAGAAAAAAGATGCCTGGAACTAAGAAAGACGTCTGAAGTTCTTCAGGTTCCGAACAGAATCGGTAGTTGAAGTATTTTGAGTCGATTTGCTATGCACTGCTGGCCTGTGAAGGCTAACAAAGCGACTTTATTCCACAGATGGGGGCTGTCAACTGACGAGAGAAGTCGGTCCTCTTGTCAATGGCTACTACTTAAGGTGGTTTCTATGGCATTTTCACTCAGTTGTGATCTGAGCCGCCGCCTGACCAGGCGCGTGTGTGGCACGCGTAGATGGGATTTTTAGCTTTTTAGTTCGATCCGGACTGTGGTCTTCTTGACTTTATGTAGACACAAGGCTCGGGTGAATGTGGGAGGAAAGAGTATATGCCGCGCAAGTCACCGTCCTTGCGCAAGCCAGGCACATTACGAATATTACCGGTAATGACGGTCGAACTGTCATTCCGCTGCAGTTGATAACATGACACCTACATTCTAAAACACAATGTTCTGTCTAACGGCCTTATCCTATTTCAGCCTACTGTACCTCCGATGAAATTGTGATCCCAGGGGTAAAAAGAACCTTTCAGAAACCAGGCGTGAAATACAGGATATCTGCAACACTCTCTCCTCCTTTATCATCCTGCCCCAATAGCAAGACAGTATCAAGGCGATTGGGAGGTGGCTGACAACGTTA